GGGGACACATGTTGATGTAGAAGAGACATGAAGAAGAGGGGACACATGTTGATGTAGAAGAGACGTGAACAAGTGGATTTTGCACAATAGGTGACCTTTAAGATAAGATAAGATAAGTCTTTATTTATCCCGAAGGAAATTGTTGTGCCAGAGTTACAAAGATACAATAAACACAGCAGCACAATGATAATAAAACTGTACACTAACAGTGCGGTAAAAAGGGCAATTCAATATCTAGAGGAAACATAGATGGTCACATCATTAATGTAAATATGATTTAGTATTTAGTAGTGCACAAACCTTAGTGGTAGATACGTAACTGCACGTTATTGATTGAACATTATTAATAATATTGCACATGTTATATAGCAGAGTGTTTTGTAACGATGGTATTTATATTGCACTTAGTGGTGGTGTGGAAGTTCTCAGTTCCCTTTACTGAGGAGTTATAGAGTTTACTTTGTTATAAAGCTTTTAGGTGATCATTCTGAGAAACTGTGTGTGTATCCAGATTCAGTAATCAGTATGAATATCACATTTGTCTTCCCTTCTAATTGTTAAAAATGTACATTTGCAGCAATGTCTATCCTCAGAGTGCTAAAGTATTGTTCTTTATCACCTTTTATGGTTGTAACAGTGATGGCATACTCAGTATTTACGTACATAACACCTACAATTGGTAAAGAAGTACATCATTATAAAATAAATCCTTTAAATAATGTGTAATAAACTAGTTGGACTAAATCCATTTTGTGAATAGTTAGCTTTAGTGAACTTCTTTTTAGTTTCCACTGTTGGCACAAGTGCTCACATCTCTGGCACCATGTGTTTAAATCATGTTTAATATGTGGAATAACTTCATGTTCATGAGGAAGAAATGTAACTCCTGAAAGATGAAGATGCTAAAAGACCCAAATGGATATCTTAATTAATGACAGCAATACAAACAAGGTATTATACATGTAAACAATGTGTTTCATAGACCAATTGGTGTGGAGTTACAAGACATGTTCAGCAGTTAGCTTTTCGAAGTAGCTCTCATTTTGAGGATCTAATAACCTGTTATGAAAATCTTTAAAAAAAAAAATCATTGGTTTTATATTTGGGGAAAAAACTATTCTGTGGTTGTTTCAGACATCCTGACTAAAAGCGACGCTGAGGAGGATCTGATCGTCACGGTGACCGTGTCCTCCAGCATGGACAGCCCATCGGTAAACACACACACATTTACAAATTCAATTAATTTCAATGTATCTATTCACTAACGATGAAAGCTACCAGGAGCTAGAGAATAGTGGACCAGACACTAATCAGAAGGTATTGTTAAAACGCAACATCTTGCAAGAAACAGCGTCTGAGGGCTTCTTAACATTTAACAAACTATGAATGTGTCATACCCACTTAACGGGAAGAAACTCAGCTATCAGACAATATTAACCATTTTTAGCTAAACGAAACACAAGGTTAATAACAAAGGCTCTGAAGTAGCCCTGAGTGAAAAAAGTATTACTTATCGGATCTGCACAAACAAGATGAAAGCTGAGATTCCACAGATTCCAGAGGTATAAGTATCATCACTGTGCGACCAGAACTCAGGGCAGCGAATGCGAAACCAGACAACATACAACGTAGCTTTACGGAGCCAAAACGGCAAAAAACGTCTTACCTTTGCTGTTTTCTGATCAAAAGTTGTGTTCAATGGCATTAAAACGATAAAAACGCTGCTGAAGGTTAATCCAATGTCTCTGTGTCACTTTGAAATGATTTATGATAATCCATCATAAGATTTATGTCAAAAACGGAGATTTCATATCAAGCTGCTATGAGAGCTATGAGAGCTACTGTACAACCTAGCTTCCGGTTTTGGGCATCCTGGCTACGCATCACTCATTCACCAATGGGTAATGTTTAGATGGATTTTAGGAACTTCCTCTCGATTCTATTGGCTCTAACGGTTCAAAACAGGTGCCAATCATCAAAATCGACCGATGGGTTCCAGAGATATGGAAAATCCACCCATATGACCCCAGAAGTGGTTTTCTTTTTCTAAATCTCTCTAAAAAGGTCAAATGTCACTTGTTTTGCATCAATCTTGATACAGGGTACTTATTATATGTTGTACTTTGGATTCCTAAAGCTTTTAGTCTACTAACCCATCATTCAAGGGTAGTTTTCACTATAAGTAAAAAAGAATGTTTGGACGGACACTATAATTTACATTTTTTTTACTATGTTCAATCTGAATTTACTTTAAAATAAAATAAATTCTATATTGATTCTGACTTTTCTACATCCAACTCACAGGTTTATCATTGCTTTGAGAAGAAAGATTATTAATGTACCCCTTTTAGAAGTGAAGTTATAGTCATTTGTTCTGGGAATGTCATTTTCGAGCCTGAGACCTGAAAAACAGGCTCGGGGCTTAACAGGTATATAATTAGGGTTCATGTATCATACAGAAACATTTAAAAGCTAATACACCCCAAGACTAATCACTAACTCTGCCAACTACTAAATTGTCCAAAAGCAGTCATGTTATCAGTCTAAACATTATGATTAACTGACAGGCTTATCTTTCCCTTTTTTCTCCGTCTACAGCAAGCTCTGATCCAAGATATGGACGACCTGCCCGTGCCTTCAGTTACCGTACAGGTGAGCTTTGGCCGACTCTACCTACCCTCACTCCCTCTCTTTGTCTCTACTCGTCCTTTGCACTTGCCTCGGCCCTGCCTGACTTCCACGTTGTTATTTTGTAGATCCTAGAATATTGTTCTCATCCTCCTGGATCCATCTTTTTTACATCGGTTCACATTATAGTATAATCTGGATTGTCTATGCTGTCATTTGATCATGTCTTTTGAATCCACACACACAGAATCTATTGAACATCTGTCTGTCCTGCAGAGAGGGATCCTCCTCTGTTCTGTTCTTCCAATTTTCCGGATAACTCTGGGGTTTCTTTGGGAGTTTTCCAGTCTTACTGCGAAGATCTAAGGACACACTGTAAAGCCCCCACGAGACAAATGTGGAATTTGTGATATTGGGCTATATAAATAATTTGATTTGATTTAAATGTGTCCTTCGCACTTGCTGTGGTCCCTTCTGACTTCCATGTTGTTGTTTTCTAGCGGCACCATGATCACATCTTTTTGATAAACTTTCACAATTTTTATACTTTGGATTTTCTATGATGTAACTTTTATTATGTTTTGAATTCCCACACACACCATCTATTGCATCTCTGTTGCTCTGCCCGCGCGCGGTTTCTTCTGTTTTTCATTCCATAATCGTGCGGTTCCTTGAAAGTGTTTATTTATATTGAACTGCCAGTTAGGGTAGTCGTGTGCTGATCACACTGTAAAGCCTCCGGAGACAAATCTGTAATGTGTGATATTGGGTTATACAGTACAAACATCATTTGATTGATTCATTGATTGACACTGAGTCTCCCCCTGGTTCCCTGTCCGTCTCTCTCCAGGTGAAGGTGAAGGCCCGTTGTGTCGTTCAGTCCCCCAAACTGACCGTCTCCCTTCAGCCTCCTCTGGCCGTCACTCAGGATCAGTTCGTCCTGGAGCCCATAGGTGTGTGTGTGTGTGTGGTGTGTGTGTGTGTGTGTGGTGTGTGTGTGTGTGTGTGGTGTGTGTGTGTGTGGTGTGTGTGTGTGTGGTGTGTGTGTGTGTTTGTGTGTGTGTGTGTGTGTGTGTGTGTGTGTGTGTGTGTGTGTGGTGTGTTTGTGTGTGTGTGTGTGTGTTGTGTGTGTGTGTGTGTGTGTGTGTGTGTGTTGTGTGTGTGTGTGTGTGTGTGTGTGTGTGTGTGTGTGTGTGTGTGTGTGTGTGTGTGTGTGTGTGTGTGTTGTGTTTTTCTTCTCGTTCTATGTTCTACTTAATTGTAATTATAAGCCTTCGTGAAATTCTTAAATAGTTGAGCAGTACATTGACTGGTTGCACATGTCACACATTTGTTCTACCTAACCTTTCACTCAAGGATATACATACATATTTTTATATTTAGCAATTTTCCAAAGAGCAAGTCTCAAACTGAACTAGTCAGTCAGTACTGCATGCTGTTGTCTTGACCTTTCTTCTTTCAGACGTCTTTCACTAATAATAGGTAATAAGGTGTCCAATTGAGGTGTTTGAGGCGGGGGGGGGGGGGGGGTGAGTGTGTGGGAGAGAAACTCCCTCTAGAGGGATTTTAGCCTCTGCAGACCATTTACATGCACTAAAACCTATATTACACTCTCCAATAAAGGAAAACCCAACCAAACTTAATAGTTTATTCTAAGGTAATAAACATTTTTAGTTTAGTTTTACAATCCATTCTGCAGCTGGTTTTGTGTAAGATCTTTCAACAGCTAATTTCATTTTTGCTCTCACAAACACACACACATGCAGCACACACACATCTGCTCCTCTCCTCTCCTCCATCCCGTCCTCCTCCACAGTCCACACACACACACACACACACACACACACACACACACACACACACACACAGAGAGAGGTTTGTGTTGGTGTGTGTTTGTTCAGTCCTTATCCGCCTCTACAGTGTGTGTTCTGTCGTCTGGCTGCTGGGGAGACTCGGTCACTTTGATCTGAGTCACCCAGACACTGCATACACACAATCCCCCCCCCCCCCTTCCCTCCAAACACTGATATCTGCTGTCGGCCCGTTTAAAATACTTTCTTTTTTCTAGGAGTGTAAACGTCCTTTGTTTCCTCTGTTTGACTCCTTCCACCTTTCTTCCTGTGCCTGCACACGTGCACACATTTACAGAGTGTGTAATGTAAACCAGCTTTTATCGGCGGCTGCTTACGTGTCCATGAGAACACACATTTATAAAATGCGCCGTCCCACAGGAGTTAAACCTCTAACCTCTGCCTGTTAGTGTACATGTGGAGAGGCTGACTGTGTTACATCACACCTCCACTTTTTGTTCTGAGTGGAAACGTTTCCTTTGTTGCCTTTTTTTGCTGCCAAATTATAATCAAACCTCCACTTGGAAGGAAAAGTCAAGTGACTCATAAGTGGCTTCATCATTAGACACACTTCTCTATCCTGCCAGGGTTGCACATTTCTCTACAGATCCAGTCTTCTTGTTGTAACTAAGTTTCGCTCTGCGTTCCAAGCTACCAGATGTTGACATTTGTGTCCATTGTTACCCAGAATACATTGCATTTTGTTGCCTTTTCTTGTAGTTATTCTCTGGACACCATGCTCACCAAATCTGAAATCATTTGTTAGTAAAACAAACTGAACTCAGGGTGTTTTTTTTTAAGTTGGACCCTTAAAGGTCATCTATCATGCTATTTTTAGGCAATAGCATAGGTCTCAGATATATAAAAAACATGTCTATGAAGTGTTTTGCTCAAAATACCAAACAGATCACCCATTCTAGCCATGCCTCATATCCCTCTATTTCACTTCCTGTTTCAAAAGTGCTGATTTTGGGTATAAAGCTTTAAAAAAAGAAGAATTGATAAAAAATATAAAATGAGGGGTCTGAGCTCATGCGGGACCCGGCAGCTACTGTCTAAACTAAATACTGCCGTGATGAAACGCCATATCATGGATTATCAAGGATTGTCTCTGAAACAGTATGGAGCTCAAAGGCTTTCTCTCTTGCCGGTTATACCACAAGGTGAGTTCCTTTTTATTTCCTGCTTCTTCACACACATGCTCTCCAGTACAGGTTAGCTCTGAGTGTTAGCGATGCTAATGTAAACACCGACCATATTACGTCCAAAACAGTCGGACATTGTTTCTGATAGCAACGTTTCTGATAGTGCCATGGGTCCACATTTCAGATATTACGTCATATCGGACGCAAATCTGGATCGGCTCCGTTGTTCCCCCGTTTTTAGAGATTTGGGTACGGAGGAAAAGAGAGAGGGTTTTATTTTCTGACGCTGCGTGAGTTCCCTGACACACCGGGGACACATAGTTGTGTATAAAAGACATCAACAAGTGCATTTTGCATGATAGGTCCCCTTTAATATCTTTTCAATTTTAATTAATTATTTCTTTTCAATCTAAAACCTTAATTTTGGACATTCACACAATAAATTGTTGCGATTGCCTGGAATTATATTATAAATGGCATCAGTAAATAGAATTTTAATGTATCTTTTAAATCCAACAATAATATTTTGGTCTCGTTGACTACAGGAATATCGTTGAACTCCTGTAAAATCGCTGTACGATCGTGTAAATGCGACAAGAGATTATTAAGTATGGTCATATGTCAAATGAAAAGCTACAGGGTATACTAACAAAGCGTCAAAAGTGTCCACACTCATTCGCTGAAGCTGGATCAGCACCAGAACCTGTCACTTTATCCTCTAAAACTTCTCCCGACATTTGCGGAAACCGTCATCCATCAGAGAGGAGTAGTTTCCTAGTTTTTTTTGAGGTACCAGTTATGATGTTGAATTTATGATTTCAAGATGTGAGCAGCATTCTCAGGCGGTTTGAACACCATCCATTCATTTCAAACCCTAAATCTGACCACCGCTCTCCCGTGATTCATGATGCGTCTCTGCAGAAATGTAATGCGTTTCACCACACTGCATTCTTATCTGCACATACACTGCACATGACCTCTGTAACTGTTAATTCAAACATGATGCACTTTCTGCACAACACGCAATACATTTCCTGTAAATTCTCCTGTCCGTTTCCTCCATTTATACTGATCACATATTTTATTTTTATGACTTGCATTTCATATACTGTACTGCCGTATTTTATAATGCACATGTTTTGCATTTATTTCGTCTGCTCTTTAATATGTCCGTGTCCATGCTGCCATATTTTCTGCTGGCATACATTTCCATCAAACCTCGAGCTACATACCGTCAGATTGTATATGTTTTATTGATATCATCGAGACTTTGGCCATAAAGACAGCACTTTTCTTTGGGTTTGTGATTGGATTTTTACATGTTAGCATGAGCAGGGCAATGATTGCTGTGACATCACTGCACTGTAAACCTGGAACAAGTTAGCAGGATTAAAAAAAAATGAAGGCAACTGATTTCCTTTATTAAACTAAATTGATGCATTTAAAAGTCAAATGTTTTCAGATATCATGCTATTTTTAGGCAATAGCATGGGTCTCAGATATATACAAATATATAAAAAAACATGTCTATGAAGTGTTTTGCTCAAAATACCAAACAGATCACCCATTCTAGCCATGCCTCATATCCCTCTATTTCACTTCCTGTTTCCAAAGTGCTGATTTTGGGTATAAAGCTTTAAAAAAATAAAAAATTGATAAAAGATAAAAAAGGAGGGGGCTGAGCTCATGCGGGACCCGGCAGCTACTGTCTGAACTAAATACTGCCGTGATGAAACGCCATATCATGGATTATCAAGGATTCTCTCTGAAACAGTATGGAGCTCAAAGGCTTTCTCTCTTGCCGGTTATACCACAAGGTGAGTTCCTTTTTATTTCCTGCTTCTTCACACACATGCTCTCCAGTACAGGTTAGCTCTGAGTGTTAGCGATGCTAATGTAAACACCGACCAAAACAGTCGGGCATTGTTTCTGATAGCAACGTTTCTGATAGGGCCGTGGGTCCACATTTCAGATATTACGTCATATCGGACGCAAATCTGGATCAGCTCCGTTGTTCCCCCGTTTTTAGAGATTTGGGTACGGAGGAAAAGAGAGAGGGTTTTATTTTCTGACGCTGCGTGAGTTCCCCGACACACCGGGGACACATGTTTATGTATAAAAGACATCAAAAAGTGCATTTTGCATGATAGGTCCCCTTTAAATATTATACATTTACTGCAGGATTTTGTTAGGCTTTGCTTTTCTGTGTGCCTTATCCCACATTTCCACACCCAACAGTTGACAATAGAAATATATACATATTTTTAGGTGGTGCTTTTGTAATCTGCAAAATAGTCAAATTAAATAAAAAATGGTCAGTAATGTCAAATCAAAAACTCAGAAAATCTCCCAGGAACTCAAAATATTGAAGTTACTAGAACTTGTTTTTTTAACCTGAAGTTTACAGTACTTATTGTTTTAATTATTTTCAACATTTAAGTTTACAGTCAGAATTAAATAAATATATATTCCGTATATATGACTGAACTAGATATAATATGGACAAAACATGAAATATATGTATAGAATAAATAAATAAAAAAGTCTGCTTGAACATCTAACTAATTCTATAAACTTTTTTTTCTTTGCCACATTTCAGTTCCAACATCAAACTTAAAGTTTTGTCGATTGCATCAAAGCATTTGCATTTAGGATTAAACTCTTTAATGGGGGACTGGTGCACAAAAGATCTATTGGGACCAGAGGTTGCGCTAGACTGTTTCGCATAGACGGAAAATATTCGGTTAACGCGACCTCAGATTGGGACCCTGTATCTCAAATGTGTTAGTATTTGTAATTGTTATTTGGTTAAAGGTATAATGGAACAAATCTTTTACATGATACATATTCAAAGTAATTGCATTTTTTTTTTAAATCAATTTTAATGCAACGAGGAACCAATATCCAGAATAGAAAAGTGAGTCCAGAAAGTCAAACTCAATGAAAAGAAAACTTAAA